AGCCAAAGGAGAAGGCTGACCGGCGGACTCGTATGCAAATGAGATGGCCTCGACCACTCACTTACTCAACCTCTGCTCAGATGCGGGACAACCTTTCTTCGGAGGTCCAAAACAAACAGATAACTGTTCAGGCTTCCTCCACAGGGCAGCTCTGTGGACATAAGCATCTAGAGCCCTCAGAGGGCAGAGCAGATTAGTTTCTCTTGGTCTGACCTCACAATACCACGAAGAAAAAGAATTACCAATGGGTATCTCCCGTGAAAAGCTCCACTCAAAGGGACGTGGTAAGCAGATAGGCCACCACATACACCTTTAGTGTGGAGTGGGATAACCCTGTGGAGAAATGCTCCAAAGGAATTCCAGCACCGCCACACCGGGCAGTTAACTGGGTCCAACTGGTGTTCTCCCCACCAAGAGGTGAAACATTGCCACCTCAAGGCATATAATCTCCTCGTGGACGGAGCTCTGGATTGGAGGATGGTCTCCACGACCTCAGTCGAGAGACCCGATTCTATGAGCTGGGCCCCCTCAGAGGCCAAGCCACAACCTCCATAGATCTGGGCGGGGGTGAAGTATCGACCCGCATCCATACTCGGGCCGGCCAACGCGGGGCTACTAACAGTAGAAAGACCCCGACTCGGTGAACCCTCTCCAGAACTCCTGGGAGCAGAGCAATCGGGGGAAATGCGTACAGGGGTGACCTCGGCCACTCCTGTACCATCGCATCCAACCCCAGAGGGGCTGGTGGATACAGAGAAACCACAGCATGCAGTGTCTCAGTCCCTGGATTCAAATAGGCCTACCTCGGTATGACCGAAATGACTCCATAGGAGCTCCACCACCTCGGGGTGGAGTCTCCACTCCCCGGGCCTCGGCCCCTGCCTCGACAGGATGTCTGCTCCCCGATTTAAATATCCTGGGATATATAATCGCCAAAGAAGAAGCTTCCCCTGGGCCCACAGAAGGATCTGGCGCTAGCCTGAATAATGGACATGAGCGCAGACCCCCTTGATGGTCTATAAAAAGACCCCCGATGTGCTGTCTGACCGGACAAGAACATGGTGACCCCTCAGGTCTGGGAGAAAGTCCACAGACCCCGGGCTGAGCGACCACTCATGATCGCCCCCAGCCCGTGAGGGAGGTGTATATCGTTAGCTTCTTTGGAACAATGAAGTAACGGCTGTAATACCCCAACTCTCTGTCGGGGGGAAGAACTCGTTCTATCGCCCCCTTCAGTAACAGAGCTTTCACCTCTTGTTCCATGACCAGAGCCTGCTCGGGGATACCACTGTAGGCAAAATCCCCCGAAAACGAGGCGGACGTGACCGAACTGGATCGCGTACCCGCGTTCGATAGTCTGCAGGACCCATCGAGATATATTTGGAAGACTTTCCCATTCTGCCAGAAATTCCACTAAGGGTACCAGTCTCTCGAGACTGGCCTCTGGAGTAATTATAGAGACAGAAACAGTGCCCTGTGACCGCGCACAGGCAGGGTTTAACGACTGTTCTGTATCGCTCCTCGGAGCAAACGAGCTTCCCTCGGGAAACCACTCGCTAGGACCGTCTGCGCCCACCCTCACAGGCAGGTTCAGCAGAACGGGTCCCTGCAGACCCCCCTGGTGGTTTATGTAAGAGACCACAGACATGTTGTCTGACCGGACAAGAACATGATGATCTCTGAGGTCTGGGAGAAAGTGTTTCAGAGCCTGAAACACCGCCATCATCTCTAGACAATTTATATGCCATCGGAGATGATGGTCTTGCCACAACCCGCGGGCCGAGCGACCACTCATGATCGCTCCCCAGCCCGTGAGAGAGGCATCCGTCGTCACCGATTACCCGGCGACACGGGGCTCCCAGCGCAGGTCCCAGGGACAGGAACCAAGGTTCTTTCCACATAGCCAGGGCACGGAGACCACGTCGCGTGACCTTGATCTTGCGGAGCGGCTTTTCCCTCGGGGAGAACCCCTTGGTCCTGAGCCACCACTGTAGTGGTCTCATGTACAGCAGGCCGCACGGTAACACGTTGGATGCTGCTGCCATCAGACCCAGAATTCTCTGGAATTCCTTTACAGTGAGTGACTGGCCTAGCTTCACTTGCTTGACAGTCGAGATAATCGAGGCTATACAAGCCGGCGACAGACGTGCCTGCATCGTCGTCGAATCCCATACCACGCCTAGAAAAGTGGTCCGCTGAACTGGCGAAAGCACACTCTTCTTAGCGTTGAGTCTCAACCCCAACCTTCTGATGTGGGCGAGGACGGCATCTCGATGCCGAATCGCCTGATGCTCCGATTGAGCCAGAATCAACCAATCGTCGATGTAATTTAAAATGCGAATGCCCTGGAGACGCAGCGGGCCAAGGCCGCGTCCATGCATTTCGTGAAGGTTCGAGGAGATAACGCTAGGCCGAATGGAAGGACCCGATATTGGTACGCTTCGCCCCAAAAAGCGAACCTCAGGAACTTCCGATGTTGCGGAAGGATGGAGATATGGAAGTACGCGTCTTTTTTAGGTCTATCGTGACAAACCAGTCCTCGGACCTGATCTGTGACACGATCTGCTTGAGAGTCAGCATTTAGAACTTGAGCTTCCCTACTGACCGATTTAAGAGGCGCAGGTCTAAAATCGGACGCAGCCGCCCATCCTTCTTTGGAACAATGAAGTACCGGCTGTAATACCCCAGCTCTCTGTCGGGAGGAAGAACTCGTTCTATCGCCCCCTTCAGTAGCAGAGCTTTCACTTCTTGTTCCATAACCAGAGCCTGCTCGGGGGTCACCACTGTGGGCAAAACCCCCCGGAAACGAGGTGGACGCGACCTGAACTGGATCGCGTACCCGCGTTCGATAGTCTGCAGGACCCAACGAGATATATTTGGAAGACTTCCCCATTCTACCAGAAATTCTACTAAGGGTACCAGTCTCTCGAGACTGGCCTCTGGAGTAGTTTTTAAAAACAGAAACAGCGCCCTGTGACCGCGCACAGGCAGGGTTTAACGACCGTTCTGTATCGCTCCTCGGAGCAAACGAGCGTCCCTCGGGAAATCGCTCGCTGGGACCGTCTGCACCCCCCATTACAGGCAGGGTTGGCAGAACGAACCCCTGAGGGCACCGAGAGAGAGCGGGCGCCGGATTCAGCGGCGAACACCTCTGTCTCACGGTGGGGACCACCCTCAGTAGCCTGACACCAGTGGCGTCAGGACTTCTTCGACGAAGCCTTCCTGGCGACAATAACCGTCCTCAGATCGGTTCTATCCCGGGAAGACCTCGCCTGAGAACGCCGCGTCTCAGCCCAGTTTTGCTGGGGAGGAGCCCGAGACGCGACGCTCTCTCGACGGGCGGGGCTGCTCTCGCCCAGCAGCCCCCGAAGGATGAGTACGGAGGGGGAGACATTTCTGGAGCGCCGCTGCCTGTTTTTTTCGGTCGACAGCGGCGCATCCAGGAGAAACGCTTTATCTTTCTCCTTCATATTAGCCACAGATGCCTCTCCGTGGCCACCAGGGCTGCCATAGAGCGGCCGACTGATCTGGCCGTCTCCTTGGTGGCACGGAGAGAAATATCTGCCGCCTGACGCAGTATCTCATTAATCACGTCAGTGCCGACGACCTCCCCTCACTCATATCTCCTAGACCCAGCAATATTAGCATACATAGAGGTCTGGTGTGTCAAAATTCTAGCTGACACTGGTTTGTTCCACGATCTACACACCTCGGTGTGTAGATCGAGGAAAAAGGGCAAACACCGGCATGGAGGTAGTGAGTGTGATATTAAAAATCTCTCATCCATTTACTCTCTCGACTCTTGTTTCTCAACTGGCCATTCAATGGTTAATTTTTCCACAGCCCGAGTCAAAAACCTCCATTTTTTTTTTTTTTTTTTTTCCTTTTATTTATTTATTTATTTATTTTTTACTACATTCGCGGGAGACTGGGATGGCAAACGAGCTTCCCTCGCTCTCCACTGAGTCCATAGACTCTGCATCCACACTTTCAACATCCAGCTCCTCAGAACTGGATAATTGAAGTGATGGCGCCTCAGCCCGGGCAGGAGAAACCGCAACGCGGACCCCCGCAGCGAGAACTGAGGCACTATACTCTACCAGGTAAGGGCAGAGAAAGGGCGGGGCCCGTCTCAATCCCCGCTGATAGATCCATCTGCGATCCCCACGACGCAAGCCTTCGCTGTGCCTCGGCAGCAGCGGGACCCGAGCCGCGGGGAGCGCGCACCGAACCACTCTCCTCGAAGAGTGCCCGGCGGGAGCGGAGTGTCTTCATGGGCAGACACTCGCAGTGCTCACAGCCGGCCCCCTCGAGAGCCGACTGAGCATGCTGCACTCCCAAACAAACAACACACAGATCGTGTGTATCCCCACCCGTGATGAAGCGAGGGCAGGGATGAACACACTTTCTGAAATTCTGCTGTTGTTTGCTCGCCATATCAATATATATAAATATACAATATAGACAGACAGACAAAATTCATACATAGAGCGCTTGTGAAGACTCAGAAGCTGTTGCGCTTGTGTTTCGGGGATGCTTTATAGTTTCCTGGTCGATACGTCACCCCGCCTATGACGTTCCGTCTCGCCATTGGACAGATTTCATACGTGCTTCATGACTCGTCACGCAGAGGCGTTCCCACGGCGTTTACACGCAGCTCGAAGTTCCCTGAATGGGAACCAGTAACACAACTCGTTGGCTTACAGTTTGGTGAACCATCAACATGGAAAGACCAGCAAGCAGTCACATTGACATTACTGCTCGACGAGAGTTCTGGGACACTGGATGCTGGAATTGTGAAAGAACTGATAGAGTCCACAGTGTAATAGCCAGCCTGTAGGAGTAAACAAAATGTTTTATGTTATACTTCTATTAAAAAAGGGAGAAAGAGAGAGAAAGAACTATATTTTTTTCTGTGGGAGAAAGAGAAATTTAACAATATTTAAATTGTATATCTGTATTTGTTTTTCTCATTTGTAGAGATCACAAGAAGCAGTCAGCAACTTCACTTACCTGCCATGGTAGTCCTGTTTCTGCAACATCTCCATAATAGATCAGGATGAAAGAGCGATGGACATTGTAGGCTAAAACCACTTGGAAAGAGGCCACCTTCAAAACACCAACAGACAGCAATCAGAATCTTCTAAATAAATCAGACGGACCATTCATTGAAAATCAAAGATTACTGTAGGTCTTACCCCTCCACCATTAGAGTATGGCACACTGTCCCATGTAGCGACAAAAGCTGAAGTAGCAGCAAAGGGTATGTTAGGGAAGTATCGCTTAACAGCTGCTGTGACTTGTGTCAGTGCAGCACTGCTTGTCTCCTGCCTATAGGAGATAGTTCCTCCGCGTCTATAGTCAAGGTGAGTCCAAAGAGGAGCAATGATGTCTCTTCCGGGATCCAGAGAGGAGTTGTAGGCAGGCAGCGGCTCGGTAAACGTTAGATGGCCATTGTTGTTCACCTACATTTTTGCCCCATATTTTTCAAAAGGATTTTGAAGAGAAGATTGAAGAAATTAGGGGTATATAAAGAACTTTTATCTTCATGTTTGTGTGTTTGGGGGTGGAATGTGACACTTACAAAGATCTGATTGTATGTGCGTCCAAAGTATTTGAAAGGCGTCTGCAAGAAAATGACAGAGCTTCCATCATCGGCAGTGGGGATCACTATTTCTCCAACCCCAGAAGGAAGGAAACTAGTTGGAACTAAGGAAAGGACAGGTGAGAAGAAATTATTTAACTCTGCAGGAGAAAAACAAGCCGATAAATGGTACAGGTTAAGTCTGAGCTTTTGGTTGCATTGGCTTACATTTTGGTGAGCCATCAACATGGAAAGAGCTGCGACCATTCACATTGACATTACTGCTGGAGGAGAGTTCTGAGGCATTGGTTACTGGAATTGTGAAAGAATTGACCGAGTCTGCCGTGTTGTAACCAGCCTGTAGATGCACAGAAAATTAATAGTTTTTAGGCCCTGAACCTGTTACAGATATAACTGTCTTTTTGCTAAGTTCTAGCAATGAATGTAGTGAGGCAAGGGCAATTCCTTGGAATTTCCACATTTGCAAAAAACCTGTCTTCACTCACCAGCCAAATTTGTTCGGTTTCTGCAATGTTTCCATAGTTGATCAGGATAAAAGTGCGATGAACACTGGAGACTAAAACCGTTTGGAAAGAAACCACCTTCAAAATACCAACAGATGTCATTAAAAACCTTCACTCTTCACAGGACAACACTAATTTATCTTTAAACAACGATTGGATCTTACCCCTCCACCATTAGAGTATGGCACATTGTCCCAGGTAGCAACAAAAGCTGATGAAGCACTAAACGTTATGTTAGGGAAGTATTGCTTAACAGCTGCAGTGACTTGTGCCAGTACAGCACTGCTTGTGTCCTCTCTATAGGAGATAGTTCCTCCGCGTCTATTGTCAAGGTGAGTCCAAAGAGGAGCAATGAAGTCTCTTCCACAATTCAGAAGTGGGATGTTGTCGGACAGTTGCTCAGTAAATGTTAGAAGGCCATTGTTGTTCACCTACAATTTAACACAAACATATGTTTGTGTGTTGTAAGAGGGAATATACTGACAGAATTAAGAAGTAGAATTTGCAACAATTTCAACTAGTTGATTCAACAAATCATATATACTCTGAATTTCACAATTACAACAACCTGTACATTGAGATATCAAAGTCTGAACAAAGTAAAGCAAGTAGTTACACTCATTTAAAGAGACTTGTGATTTTAGATGCAAGTAGATGAAACATGTCTCTAAATATGTAATATAACAACTAAACAATGCTTACAAAGGTCTGATTGTGTGTGCGTCCAAAATATTTCAAAGGCTGCTGCAATATAATGGCTTCGGAGCTTCCGTTATCCAATCGGGGGGTTACTAGTTCTCCATTCCCAAATGGTAGGAAATTAGATGGCACTAGGAGAAATGTAAGAGAGAAGGAATCATTTAGTTCTTCCAAGAAACATAAGCTCTCTCTCACACACTACACTAGTTAAAAGGTTTAAAGGGGAATTCACTAAGAATGAATTGTGCTGGTTTATACTGTTGTTTATTTTTATGTATCCCATAAGATTTTAGAACCAGATTCATAACACAAATTATGTAAATATGGTACTGGAGTTAGGTTATTACAGCCACAGAACTACTGCCCATCACAATTGCCCAGGGTGGTCCCCCAGCTCGCGGGCCGTTTCTAAATGTGCAAAGTTGTGGAGAGTACAGAAGACTACTACAATCAGGCAGATTTTCTTGGATTGTGAAGTACGATTCCCTCACTGCGATCCAGCACCTGAATTGGCTTTTTAAAAGGCTGAAAGTGCACTCAACTACACGGTGCCAGGCCAAGCATAAACTGCAAAAAAGTTTCAGGTTTTGGGTTCAAACAAGGCATGCTACAGTGGCACAAAAGTTTAGTGAATTCACCCCTGAACACCTTGTCATAACCAGTAACACAAATCGTTGGCTTACAGTTTGGTGAACCATCAACATGGAAAGACCAGCAAGCAGTCACATTGACATTACTGCTCGACGAGAGTTCTGGGACACTGGAAGCTGGAATTGTGAAAGAGCTGATAGAGTCCACAGTGTAATAGCCAGCCTGTAGGAGTAAACAAAATGTTTTACACTCTCATTTTATAAAAAAAAAAAAAAGAGAGAGAGGCAATGATAATTACTGATATTAATTACTGTATTTCTTGTTGGTCACAGGCGAGTGAAACGGCAGTAAAACCTTTAAAATCTTTATATAATCAAGCTGTTAAAGTTTTAGATAAAAAACCATTGAGATATCATCACTGTCTGGTTCTTAGAAAATACAGTATGTTAAACTTTGATAATTTAATTGTGTATGCCAATGTGCGATTAGTTTTTAAAATTTTGAATAATATTGCGCCTCCTCCCCTAAAAACATTTGTACAGTCTTGCTCTGAAAAGATGACTAGGAGTACCAGGTCCACAAGTTGCAATGATTGCAGGCTGCCTAAATGTAGCTCGGCCTTTGCACAGACAGCCTTCTCATTCAAGGGCATTAAAGAATGGAATAAACTCCCAAAGGCTCTAAAACTCACTTTTGACCTGAAGGATTTTTCTAGCAATATAAGGAAAGTGCTATTGAACAACCAGTTGTGCCAGCATAGATAATTATGTATGTAAATAAGACTTTTAGTGAGGTTTTATTGAGGTTTTATTGATGGTTGATATAGAGAATGGATGAATGAATTAATTGATAGTTGTATTTGAGTGACTAATTATAACATTTTATATTGTATATTTTGTATTGTAATTCACCGGCTCGGGGACTGCAGATGGAAACTAGCTTAAGCTAAATCTGGTGCAAAGCATCTTTAATTAATGTTTTTCGCACATTGTCCCTGTTGAAATAAATAAATAAATGAAATGAAATGAAATGAGAGAACATTGTTTCCTTCTTTTTATGAACAACTCCTTTTGAAATGTATATCTGTATTTGTTTTTCTCATTTGTACAGTGCACAAGAAGCAGTCGACAACTTCACTTACCTGCCATGGTTGTCCTGTTTCTGAAATATCTCCATAATAGATCAGGATGAAAGAGCGATGGACATTGTAGGCTAAAACCACTTGGAAAGAGGCCACCTTCAAAACACCAACAGACAGCAATCAGAATCTTCTAAATAAATCAGACGGACCATTCATTGAAAATCAAAGATTACTGTAGGTCTTACCCCTCCACCATTAGAGTATGGCACACTGTCCCATGTAGCGACAAAAGCTGAAGTAGCAGCAAAGGGTATGTTAGGGAAGTATCGCTTAACAGCTGCTGTGACTTGTGTCAGTGCAGCACTGCTTGTCTCCTGCCTATAGGAGATAGTTCCTCCACGTCTATTGTCCAGGCGAGTCCAAAGAGGAGCAATGATGTCTCTTCCGGAATGCAGAGAGGAGTTGTAGGCAGGCAGCGGCTCGGTAAACGTTAGATGGCCATTGTTGTTCACCTACATTTTAGTCCCACATTTTTCAAAGATATTTTAAAGAGAAGATTGAAGAAATTAGGGGTATATAAACAACTTTTATCTTCATGTTTGTGTGTTTGGGGGTGGAATGTGATGCTTACAAAGATCTGATTGTATGTGCGCCCAAAGTATTTGAAAGGCTTTTGCAAGAAAATGACATCAGAGCTTCCATCATCGGCAGTGGGGATCACTATTTCTCCAACTTCAGAAGGAAGGAAACTAGTTGGCACTGAGGAAATATTAGGTGAGAAGAAATTATTTAACTCTGTTGAAGAAAAAAAAAGCCCATAAATGGTACAGGTTAAGTCTGAGCTTCTGGTTGCATTGGCTTACAGTTCGGTGAGCCATCAACATGGAAAGAGCTGCGACCATTCACTTTGACATTACTGCTGGAGGAGAGTTCTGAGGCATTGGTTACTGGAATTGTGAAAGAATTGGCCGAGTCTGCCGTGTTGTAACCAGCCTGTAGATGTACAGCAAATGAATAGTTTTTAGGCCCTGAACCTCTTACAGATATAACTGTCTTTTGCAAGAATATAAGGAATGAAGTGAGGCAAGGGCAGTTCCTTGTCATTTCTATTTTTTGCAAAAACAACAAGGACCTGTCTCCACTCACCAGCCAAATTTGTTTGGTTTCTGCAATGTTTCCATAGTTGATCAGGATAAAAGTGCGATGAACACTGGAGACTAAAACCGTTTGGAAAGAAACCACCTTCAAAATACCAACAGATGTCATTAAAAACCTTCACTCTTCACAGGACAACACTAATTTATCTTTAAACAACGATTGGATCTTACCCCTCCACCATTAGAGTATGGCACATTGTCCCAGGTAGCGACAAAAGCTGATGAAGCACTAAACGTTATGTTAGGGAAGTATTGCTTAACAGCTGCAGTGACTTGTGCCAGTACAGCACTGCTTGTGTCCTCTCTATAGGAGATAGTTCCTCCGCGTCTATTGTCAAGGTGAGTCCAAAGAGGAGCAATGAAGTCTCTTCCACAATTCAGAAGTGGGATGTTTTCGGACAGTTGCTCAGTAAATGTAAGAAGGCCATTGTTGTTCACCTACAAATTAGCACAAACATATGTTTCTGTGTTGTAAGAGGGAATATACTGAAAGAATTAAGAAGTAGAATTTGCAATAATTTCTTCTAGTTGATTCAACAAATCGTGTCCTCTGAATTTCACAATAACAACAACCTGTACATTGAGATATCAAAGTCTGAACAAAGTAAAGCAAGTAGTTACACTCATTTAAAGAGACTTGTGATTTTAGATGCAAGTAGATGAAACATGTCTCTAAATATGTAATATAACAACTAAACAATGCTTACAAAGGTCTGATTGTGTGTGCGTCCAAAATATTTCAAAGGCTGCTGCAATATAATGGCTTCAGAGCTTCCGTTATCCAATCGGGGGGTTACTAGTTCTCCATTCCCAAATGGTAGGAAATTAGATGGCACTAGGAGAAATGTAAGAGAGAAGGAATCATTTAGTTCTTCCAAGAAACATAAGCTCTCTCTCACACACTACACTAGTTAAAAGGTTTAAAGGGGAATTCACTAAGAATGAATTGTGCTGGTTTATACTATTGTTTATTTTTATGTATCCCATAAGATTTTAGACCTGAT